AAACTTCTGTTAGCAGCAATCTGTAAACTAACTCCTGCAAAAAGAATCTAACTGGAGATTTGGGGAAGGATACTGACTAACAGAAATTTGCTGCTTTCAAAATAAACAAAAAAAATAAATCAGGAACAAGTATTATAAAAATTTATTTTCTGTGTGGTAGACCTTAAAACATGCTCCAATACACAGTCCAGGTTTTGTAGGGCAATCGGGACAGTGAAAAGGGGTGTCTGTCCTTTTCCCTTTTTTATAACAGACCCGGCAACATTTCTGGGGATTTATTTTTTTTTGGTGTTGGCGGTATCTTAAAAATAAAATGTCTAGACTCCTCTTGCACCGTTGTTGGAACTTAATCATCTCCATAAATTATTGTGGAAATCAGCTTGAGCTGAAATTGGAGATAGGTGGTTCTTCCTGGATTCATTTTTTAAAAAAATTAAAAATGAATTATGTGTTGCTACTTGCAACAGGTAGATAGCCACCTTTTTATACCAGGCTTTTGTCTTTCTTAAGATAAGATATGGCTGCATCAGCTGATCAGCCAAATCAACACCCACCCATGTGCCTGTTATAAGCTCTGACGCACACCGGTTTTGTTTGTACCCTGCCTCGTACAGTGACGTCTGACATGCCTTCGTTATGGATGGTTGTTAGCATGTGAACATCCTTTCTGTCGTTACATTTTTGCGCAAACAGTTCAGCTTTGCGCAGAGCTTTGCATTCACCTTTTTTTAATTTGGCCTCTATGAGAGGTCTGGGGAAATCCTTGGCATTTCTTCTTACAGTGCCGCAGGCCAGTGTCTGCAAACTATAAATAATGTTAAACAAGTGGACAATTCTGTAAAAATTGTCCTCATAAAGGTGGTAACCCTTATTGAACAAGGGGATCAGTAGGTCCCAAACAAGTTTCCCACTTGTCCCCAGAGAGTCAGGACAGCCAGGAGGGTTCAGTTGAGCATCTTTCCCTTCGTATACACGAAAGGCAAATGTGTAGCCACTTTCGCTCTCGCAAAGTTTGTACACTTTAATGCCATACCTAGACCGCTTTGAGGGGATATATTGTTTGAACCCTAATCTCCCTTTGTATTTCATAAGGGATTCATCGATGGATAAAGTTTGTTGAGGAGTATAAACTTCAGAAAATCTGTTCTGAAGATGGTCTACCAGTGGGCGTATTTTATAAAGCCTATCATATTCGGGGTGATCTCTGGGGTGACAGAGCGTATTGTCGTTAAAATGTAAGTATCTGAGCAGCAGCTCATATCTTGGTCTAGGCATTGTTTGGGAGAATATAGGAGTCGAACAAATTGGGTTGGTGCTCCAGTAAGACCGGATTGATGGCTTTTTTATTATCCCCATGAGCATGGTAAGAGCCCAGAATGTTTTAAGTTCAGGGACATCTGTGGGATGCCAAGCATGCTCCCTGACTGTATAGCTACCTGGATTGGTCTCAATAAATTGGCTAGCGTATAAATTAGTCTGGGAAGCAATCTCCTCCCAGATGGTATCCCCTAAAAATAACTCCATATATTGTATAGGGGAGAAGTCAACCACATTCACATTAATGCCTGCGTTGGCACTAAAAGGGGGATGTTGGGCTCAGCTAACTGTGGAGGTACCCAGTCCTCCTCCACATTCAGCGTAGCAGGGGAAGCACAGCTTCTTTTAGCAGCTGGCTCACTCACAGATGACATGTCACTAGACGTGCCGCTAAACTGACCTGGGTCAAAATCGGACGCAGTGTCAGTGGTGTCAGAGTCTGACGCCAAGAAGGCATATGCCTCCTCCAAGCTGTACATGCGCTGCATGTTTCACACCAACAGACTAAACTAACAAAATACTAAACACAATATATTTATTTTTTTTTAATTTTTTTTTTAAAACACTAAAACAGACTAAAACAGACTAAAACAGTAATCCCTAAACTAACTCCTGTTAGAAGAATCTAATGGAGATTTGGGGGAAGGAATATGACAGACTACGACAGACTACGACAGACTAAAACAGACTAAAACAGACTACGACAGTCTAAGACAGTCTAAGACAGTCTAAGACACAGATTTTTTAAAATAAAGTTAACCCTTAAGGGCAAAAAAAAAAATACAGACAGTAAAAATGCACTGTCTGTAACAGATCTGGCAGGGAAGGGGTTAAAATAGGATTTTAATTAACTGAAGATACTTTTTATTTTTCACAGGAACAGCTGCTGCAACAAACTATCAGGATCTCTGTCTCTCTCCTCTCACAAAACGCTACAGAGAGGAGAGAGGCAGAGATCAGTGTCAAAGTGAGTGTTTGTAACACCCACTTTGACACCAGCCAATTGTGAGCGATCGCGGATCGCTCACATGCCGCAATTGGCTGTTACTATCTGCCTGGGATGCCGGGCAGATAGTAACAACGGGATTTCAGCGGAAGCGATCTTTGATCTGTCCCGCCGCCCGTTTTCCGTTAGGACGGTTCAGGACCGTCCTCGGTCGGCAACGCAAAAATGCCGAGGACGGTCCTGAACCGTCATGCGTCCTTAAGGGGTTAAGCATGCGTGGGGTAGGTATAAGGCTAACCTAGACTTAAGATAAGGCCAGGGACTAAGGAGAGTATTTAGAAAATTGGGCAGACTAGATGGGCCGAATGGTTCTTATCTGCCGTCACATTCTATGTTTCTATGCTTCTAATCCCACTGGTCTCCATTCTTCTTTGCCCCTATAGTCTTTCTTTTTCTTCTTGCAAACTTGTGTAATCCTTCTTGAACATGTTATTTCTTTAAATCTCACTACTTCTGTAATGTATTTGAATATATAATGTCACTAAAGACTCAAACCTTGAAAGACCTTTTGCGTGGCCAGTCGCATCCTTAATGTCAGTACTCCCCATATTGAACTCTGTTTTTTTAAATTTTTACTTTACATTGCATAAACCATATTGTTTATTTCAAAGACATATAAAATAGTTAACAAAATGTATATATATATGGGCTCCGCACTCAAGTGTCCCATAACAATATAAGCCTAGGTGCTTACAACTCTGGCCAGGTTACAACATACACTGAATAAAGAGCGCACTTGAAGGACTTTAGTGTATTGCCATAAATCTGCTTTAAATGAAGCAGGCTCACAACAAAATAGTCATTCTTGATGTTTCAGTCCTCTCACTGGGACTTCACTCGAGACATTGTCAATGACGATTTTGTTTTGAGTCTGCTTCAATAAATGCAGCTTTACGGCAATTCACTCAAGTTCTACAAGTATGTGCTTTCATTCAGTGTGTCTAGCTATCTATCAATCGATTATTATTACTATTCTCATTTATAAAGCACCAACAAGTTCTGTAGTGCTGTACAACACGTGTATTAACAAACAAGTAGTTGAAACAAGACAAGTTGGATATACAGGAGTTGAAAATGCCATATATCTGTCTGTCTGTCTGTCTGTCTGTCTGTCTATCAGTCTGATGTATCTCGCTGTCTGTCTGTGTGTCTGTCTATCAGTCTGATCTATCTACCTGTCTGTCTGTCTATCAGTCTGATTTATCTGTCTGTCTGTCTATCAGGCTGATCTATCAGTCTATCAGTCTGATCTATTTGTCTATCTGTCTATTTGTCAGTCTGTCTGTAATCCTGTCTGTCTGTCTATCTGTCTGTCCCTGTCTGTCTGTTTATCCCTGTTTGGTTTTCTCTTTCCCTCCCCCCTCCTCCCCCCTCTCTCTCATTGTATCTATGATCTACTCTCATTCCATTTATATCTTTGCCTCTGTCTCTCTGCCTCTCTTCTTCTTCCCCTCTCTTTCATTCACTTTCTCCAGTTAACCTTCTTACTCTCTCCTCATCTCTCTTTCTCTCCCATCTCCATATTTCTCCTTCTAATCCAGCTTTCATGCTTTCACCTTTTCTTTCACACCTACTCTATATATTTGTATTTATTTCCTTGCCTTTTCTTTTCTAAAACAACTATTTCTTCCTCTCACTCTCTGTCCCTCTCTCCCATTACCCCTCTCTCGCCTCTAACAACCATCTGATTCTGATTGATCTATAAAATATACATACATCTGCATCTACAAAATATTTTGCCCCAAACATGCAGAGAGTTAAGCTAACTATGAAACCTCATCATCTAACAGACACTTTTTCTAAACCTGTCTTTACTGCACAATCATTCGAGAGACCAATCACAAAAACAGCCGGGTGATCTATAAATGATTTTGACTTTTGTATTGGAATGTTCTCGCTGAGATTCTTTCTGTACTATTGTCCCTATGAGTTTCCCCGGGTTGAGACTGTATTGTTGATAGTTCGTTGACGTGCTTAGAAATAAAAAAATAAATCCTATGTATAGTGTATGATTACAGACGTGGGAAACTGTACTATTCAAAGCAGCTTTTTCTGACGTAAAAGCCTCTGTGTGGAACTTGGGCCTTTTCATCCATCTAAGTAGGCTTTTTTGCAGAAACTGCACTCTAGTGTTTAATGAAGATACAGCCAGTACTAAGAGAGAGAAAAAAAACTATTCCTTTAGGGAGCTGTTTGAGATCTGCTCTGTTTTCTTTAGTTTAATGTTGTAATGAGATCTCCCTTTTAAAACCAGGCCAAATTGCTTAGCAAAAGGATGTTTTGTTTGTTTCTTAATGTTAAAAGTGACAGATAGTTTTGCATTCGGACAAAAATGCAAGGCAAGTAGTTCAGCCCCTTTCTCCCCTCCACCACCGCATTATAATGAGAGTTTCAGAAACACTTTGTTCTATGGCATATGCAACTGTAATGTTTCCCGAGGGTTTAGGACCATCCCTGTGTGACGGGACAGATTTACATGGATGGTCTTGAGTTAATGATGACTATTACTAATACACTATAAGGAAAATGTCTTTAGGGAAATCAGACTTTGGCTGGTCGTGCAATCTAATCATCAGATAAGGCTCATCATTGCCCATAAAATCACTTGTCAGATCATTTGTGCTTGCTTCAATCTGCTGATGCCAATATTTACATAGTGAATTATGGAGATGGTTTTAAAGTGGACCAACACTTTGAAGGGCCTGCATATAGATATATATCTATATATATCTATATGCAGGCCCTTCAAAGTGTTGGTCCACTTTAAAACCATCTCCATAATTCACTATGTAAATATATATATATATATATATATATATATATATATATATATAATTTATTTTTATTTTTTTATTGTGGTCTTATTAATTTTCATCATAGTTACAATGAGTACCGAATAAAATGATGAACATCACTGAATATAAAAATAGTAGGTTGATTTAACTTTTTAAATATGGAATTAAGAATTAATAAATTGGATGAATTGTGCAGATCCACACTTCCATATTAAAAGTCATGTTTTTTTTGTCCCTCAAACTATTTTGGAGTATTTCCTCTGAAGTTATTGAAATATTTGAAACACTTTTTAAAGGAATACTCTAAGCACCATAACCACGTCAAGCTGCTGCAGTGGTCATGGTGTCAGCATTATTCTGGCGCCTTCCCAAGGTCATAGTCAAAATGCTTGAAAACGATTTAGTCACAACCTATTTTGGAGCTGGAAACTTTCACTCGTAGCTTCCATTAGCTCCATGGAGAGAAGTCCTGTCATGCAAGGCCAGCTCATAGGCTGAGAAGGTCAGCTGAGTGCTCTCATCCAATGAGATAAGCCATGCATCATCTGCAAACGGTTTGACTACTTATCTTTGGAGGGAGCCAAAGCTGTAGTGGTTATGGTGCTTGGAGTGTAATGTGGACAGTTATCGTTATTATTATGATATTATTATGTTATTATTGATACAGCGCCTACAAATTCCGCAGCGCTTTTCCGTGGATGGACGAACAAACATGTAGTTGTAGATAGAGTTAGCAAAGTGTATAAAATGAATTCTGTATCATAATAGAAATGTTAAGATTTTCAGGACTTCATGCTCTGTATCCAGGCGACCATATGTTGGGGATGATGGGCTTTCAGTTAATGAAAACTAATTTAGATGACTTAGTGTGATATTTGTAGTGGACTTAACATAATACTTGAATTATAAAGAACAAACAACATCCAACCTGTCTACGAACCGAGGAGAGGTTGCAGGAAGTAATTTAACATATATAGGCCTTGATTTAATTATTTTTGAATAAGCTTTTTAAATGATTTAATATTTTGAAAAATAAGTCCATATTTAGATTTTTTTTTATATATTGATATATTTTTCGATATTTTAATATTTTGAAAAAAAATATATCATTCTAAAAGTTTATCCAAAAATATTAAGTCCTTTCAAAAGCATTTCCAAAAAATATTAAATCCCGGTCACAGTTTATAGTGCAAAACTATAAAAATGAGTAAATAACCAGCAGCATTTTAAAGCAGGACTTAATATCCGATGCAGGGCCAGTTCATTCTACCCTTAACTCTTCCTACAGAACAATCCATCTGACAAGTCAATCTAGAGCTCTGAATATGCCGTACATTGATCCACAGAACCCTGGGACATGAAATGACGTTCCAACTATCCGCACAGCTTTATGCCTTGGGCATCATTCCAGTTAATGTGGCTCTGCACATGTGCCGTGGCATTTACACTAGAGATGTTGATGTTTTATTTCTCTCTGAATCAAATCAACACAAATAAATGAAACACCTCTAGTACATAAAAACGGAGAACAAAAAATGTTTTTGTTCCCAGTATTTAAGGAGAATGATGCAGAAAATAGAAACTAATCTCAGATAGGAAAATAATAGGGATTCCCATTTACCATTTTATTTTATCTAGAATAATTAGATATCATTATATATATACAATATATTATATTATAAAATAATATAATATATAATAATATAATAACAAATATTAGAATATTCCTTTTGTGATATAAACTTTAATACAAATTCCGTTCCCTCGACAGAGATAAACGTATATATCGATCAGGACTCTGCCCACAAAGCTTACACTCTACAGCTGAGGTTATTTGTATTCCTGTTTCTATTTTTGATTTACAGCTATGCTGAGAAGTACCACGGCTCAGGAACAGATCGAGAATTAATTACGATTATACCCAATTAATGCTTACGGCATTGCCCAATCAGTAAACATGCAAATCTCGGCTGTTTACATAGTGACCACCCAGTCAATTACAATGAACAGCTTACATACACTCACATCCACAAGGGAAAGGGGAGGGGTTTGAGTGGGCAAATAGGATTTACGTCCATATGTGACAGATATGCTAGTAACAGTCGTTCAAAGCAAGGAAGGCTCATATTTATTATTAACAGTCAATTAATAACCGCTTACAGGTTTCAGCAATAGCTATAAAAATATACAGAAAGATAAATGTAATTAAATTGTAAAAAAAAGATTAATTTCTACAATTAGCGCAGTGCCTAATGTTCTGGGGATTCGATTGCACACATCATATATTTGATGGACACGTCACACATGCCATACACGCCAAACGCATAAACGCTCTAGGTCACAAGGGTAGGTAGGCAACCTTCGGTGCTCCAGATGTTTTGGACTACATTTCCCTTGATGCTTTGTCAGCATTACGACTGTAAAAGCATTATGTGAGATGAAGGAAATATCTAAGTAAGATGCAATAATGTATGCACAGCATGAGTTATAAGAGCAAATTGTGTGGAATGGAAAGATAAGAGTCTGAAACACTAAAAGCATTTAGAAAGGATCACAAGAACAAAATATGAAATAAAGTCTATGTGGGGCAGAAATTGTGTGTAGGACACAATGAGATGGGATTCCATCACTGAACACAACAACGATGACACATTATGTAAGTCTGAGCATGGCAGCATGTAGATCGATGTTGGGTTTGGCATGGGGAACAAAATGTTGCTGTTAAATGCTGTCAATATGGTCGATTTGGTTAAGAATTGCCTGTGCTAAAAGTTTGTCTAAGTACAGATATTTAATTGCCAGTGTGACTTCAACTTTTCAATCTTATTGAAATTCACAAAGAGTCCACCATCGATCCCGGTGTATAGCAAATACTTCTGTGCAACACAAATTATATCACTCACAATGAGATCTATTTTCTCATTAAAAATGAAGAGAAGTGCTTGCAGCTCATCATGATGTAAACGTGGGATTCAGAAACAAAAGAATTAACAACATTAAAGCACTTTCCAAAATCTCGCCCTGTGCTTATATTAGAATTGGGAAAATAGAGATAAGCAGATATAATTTGAGAAATTTTATATTAATTAACCTCAATGAACTCCTTATTTTTTGAAGCAAGTGGTCCTTTTTTATGAAAGATACAGTGGTAGGAATTCTATTCTATTCTATAAAATATATCCCATTGTAGTTTGAATAATTTACTCTTTCAAGGATCTAAAGAACCAGGTTTCAGTTCTAGAAGTGTCAGTTCAGTATATAAAGTTAGCATCCTTTGAAAATAGTATATCCTTTTTCAATGGTGGTAGAATTGTTCTTGGAAGTTTCATGGGCCCTAGAGTTGAATCTGATAAATCTTAAAAATATAGTCTTGTACTTTGTACAAAATTTAGTTTTAGGTCCTGGTTTTTCGAGTTAATAAAAAGCAATTCTAGGGCAACATTCTAAAAGTATAGCAATGCGTCAGAACATTCTAAGAGTTTCTATAAAATCTGATCCACGTTTTGAAGATTGCCCCAATAATTTGTATTACAACTACCCGAGTGTATCTCCGTGGTCTAACTGGGAAGAGGTAAATTGTCACAAATGCCACCTGCAGCACCCTGTGTGACCACTGGGGGATCTTATAAAATCTTTATACGCTGCTGACATGTGCTTAAAGAAACACTCTGTCGCAAAAGTATTTTTTGTTTTGTTTTGTTGTGTTTTGTTTCTTTTTTTTACAATTTATTAGACATGCCTCCAACGAAAATATGCATGTATTTCTACATGTTTTCTTTTGGGGGGGGGGGAGTCTATCTTGCAAAAGCTGCAGATCTGTTGTCCCTTTTCCCCTAGTGGAGACTTTCAGTCTGCCGAGAGAGATACTCCAATCAGAGGCTTATCATTAAGAAGCCTATGTTCTTGTCTGGCAAGCGCATGCACACAATCACAGCTTCCCTATTCTTCTTTATGAGCTGTAATACAGCTTATTAAAAAGGAGGAAAGGCAGGCATATTTAGATAACTACACCTGCCGCATCTGTTAGTTCTGTGGAGCTAACAGAAGCAGAAGAGAAACTTCATGGCTCTCTGATTAAAATCCAGATATAAAAGTGACGAATTCTATTGAAATTGGCACTTTCAAAAACTGTCACAAATATGACAGATTCCAGACACATAAAGCACTTCAGCAAGCTAGAATTCTCAATAAAAGGGGCTGTGCGGCTTAACTTGCCTTCCCAAAATAACTTGACTTTATTTTAAGTTGATCCATATCTGGCTTTTCTGATGTCTAATAATGATTTATTACAGACATTCTGCCAGTACACACTGTGTGCAGCTTCCTGTGATGTCAACAGCTCGCTTCAAGATTTCGATAACAAAAGAATCTGCCTCAATGTACCTTCATAAGCACAAGTGTACAAGATTGCATGTTCAGTGTGTATACTTCATGGTGAGTGAGTGAAGCAATGGGCCTTAAGCTTAATCTGTGAGACAGACTAGAGTGCTGTATCATGGGGAAGGAGCGAGGGCTTATATCTTGTTTACAATACACTCAAACATACCTAAAGAATAATACTGAACAATACAAACAGTTATATTGTACAAAACTAAACATAAATGTGGGATCAGCCATGCAAGCCAGCTATCAAGGGTGGAAGGGCAAACCAGCATTCACAGTACTTGAATCATGACCTACCCCATACAGTAGAAAAACAGGATAGATGATTATTACAGATCCTCAGAGAGGCTTATACTAAAATTAGTCGGAGTAGCAATAGAGAGACAATGAGACAGGGCAAGGACAGTGATGTCCCTAACGGTTCACCGAACGGTTCGCTGAACGGTTCGCCACAGATGGCGAACATATGCGCTGTTCGGTCCGCCCCCTATGTCATCATTGAGTAAACTTTGACCCTGTACCTCATAGTCAGCAGACACATTCCAGCCAATCAGCAGCAAACCCTCCCTCCCAGACCCTCCCACCTCCTGGAC